TTTGTACGTCTACCAAATTTGTCCAAGGGATTCGTACCTTTAGGGGCAATTAGCATTTCCAGGATTTCCATAACGTTGAGGTGGACGAACCATTCGTCTAGTATCAGTATTAAATCTCTGTTATGAAAGCCGACTCATTTCTAACGGTTATTCCGGGCGCATCTTGGCTCGAATTGCCGCCATTCGTCACGTGACTTTCGGCAAAAATACGCTTCAAAGCTGACTTCATCGTCGCAAATTTCAAGTCCGATGCTGCGGTCAAAACAAGCTGCCTTTCCTTTTTGGATAAATCGGCACTGTCCAACAATTTGAAAGCCAAAACCGCATCAGGAAGAGTCATACCATATTTCGTCGACTGATTATATCGACGTTCATATTCTATGATGAAGTCCGCCATCATTCGGGCAACTTCAGGTACGAGTCAAAATTAGAATACGTCTCATACACCAAGTCGACAGTTCTTTTTTGAACAATGAATCCAATGCCTGAATCAGAACATCCATACCTGTATCCGAATTCAGTTCAGTCACATCTATTTCGAGCGCCTTCGCCCTTGCTTGATCCGACAAAGACAGCGTAACGGCCAATGCTTGTTTCTTCTTGTCTAAGTCGGTTACCAAACGCCACACGGCAATTTCGTTTTTCCATGTTTCATACACGGCCTCCACTCCTAGCTTCGGAGGATTCTTGTAGCTCGTACTCTGTGACATCTTGTCAACCGTGCTCTGCTACCATTTAATAAAGTACGAACTCAGCAATATCGGTAAACGTATCATCTTTATTAGAATCCCGTTCACAGAAATACAGACTGCACAGCTCCAGAAAACACACGGAGCATGAGACTCAAAGTACTGCACATGCGCAGTTTACTACATGAAAGGTCAACCGGATGTTTACCCCAATGCATGCTGGGAGTTTATCGTACATCAAGTTAACATATATAATGCGCATGCGTGGCACGACTACCGCCCTTTAATAGTCAACTTATTTTTTGCATGTGAAACCTTCCCTAAATTGTCATACCGTGACAATGATTTCCATATTAATGGCTTTAATGTAGGCGGGACTGTTAAAACGAGGAATGAGGGTGGTCTTGTGGTCTTCGTTTTTAGTTGTAGACTTGACCTAGAGGACCATTTTCTTGACATTTTGTGGATTGAATTAACTCCATCGAGTTGTAAGTCTATTTTACTTGGTGGCATTTATAGACGGCCGAATAACAACTTGACTGACCAAATGATAGCCTTTACTGACCAATTAACAGCCACTACTAACTGAACTACAGCCTTTTCTGCCCAATTAACAAGCTCTACTGACCAAATGACAACCTTTACTGACCAAATGACAACATTTACTTCCCAAATGACAACCTTTACTGACCAAATGACAACCTTTACTTCCCAAATGACCATCTTTACTTCCCAAATGACAACCTTTTCTGACAGAATGACAACCTTAACTGACCAAATGACAACCTTTACTGACCGAATAACAATCTTTACTGACTGAATGACAACCTTTACTGACCGAATAACAATCTTTACTGACTGAATGACAACCTTTACTGACCAAATGACAGCCTTTACTGACCGGATAACAACCTTTACTGACCAAATGACAACCTTTACTGACCGAATGACAACCTTTACTGACCAAATGACAGCCTTTACTGATCGAATGACAACATTTACTGACCGAATAGCAACCTTTACTGACAGAATGACAACCTTAACTGACCAAATGACAACCTTTACTTACCGATTGACAACCTTTACTGACCAAATGACAACCTTTACTGACCAAATGACAACCTTTACTGACCGAATGACAGCCTTTCTTGACCAAATGACAGCCTTTATTGACCGGATAACAACCTTTACTGACCAAATGACAGCCTTTACTGACCCAATGACAACGTTTACTGACCAAATGACAACCTTTACTGACCGAAGGACAGCCTTTACTGACCAAATGACAGCCTTTACTGACCAAATAATAACAGCCTTTACTGACCGAATGACAACCTTTACTGACCAAATGACAGCCTCTACTGATCGAATGACAACCTTTACTGACCGAATGACAACCTTTACTGACCGAATGACAGCCTTTACTGACCAAATGACAGCCTTTACTGACGAATGACATCCAACCTTTACTGACCGAATGACAACCTTTACTGACCAAATGACAGCCTTTACTGACCGAATAACAGCCTCTACTGACCGAATGACAACCTTTACTGACCGAATGACAGCCTTTACTGACCGAATGACAGCCTTTACTGACCGAATGACATCCAACCTTTACTGACCGAATGACATCCAACCTTTACTGACCGAATGACAGCCTTTACTGACCAAATGACAACTTTTACTGACCGAATGACAGCCTTTACTGACCGATTGGCAACCTTTACTGACCCAATGACAAGCTTTACTAACCCAATGGCAACCTTTACTGACCCAATGACAACCTTTACTGACCGAATGACAGCCTTTACTGACCGAATGACAGCCTTTACTGACCAAATGACAACTTTTACTGACCTAATGACAGCCTTTACTGACCGATTGGCAACCTTTACTGACCCAATGGCAACATTTACTGACCCAATGACAACCTTTACTGACCCAATGACAACCTTTACTGACCAAATGACAACCTTTACTGACCGAATGACAACATGCTAAATCAATTAGTCGAGTTTATCAGAATGGTACTCCGCTTGATTATAAGAAAAGTACGATAAAGGCAGTTTTTGTTACAGTATCTTAGATCATTGCTCTAGAAGTGTGGTTATAAACTGTTTCAAGCAACCTAAGTTGTAAAACACGAAATGTGATTTTTTAGCTAAATTCGGTGGAGACAGTGGGCCCCGTGACGACTCAACGCAGTAACTGTGTGAATGCAACAGAACACTATATACATGTGATATCTTTTCTGTTTTGTAATCACAGAAAACCCAACAAAATGCACTTATAATACAACTATTGTCCAGAACGCATAATTGCAGATGTGGTAAACTGAAAATTGAAAATTGATGAACGAGTCCACAAATTCATGTCTACACCCTCCCGTGGCGTAACTCCCTCCCTCCAATTTATTTTAAATAGTTTAACCTAACATCTGAATTATATCCTCGAGTACCGGTTCTGAGAGACCATCCCGCAGTCATTTAATTCAATCTGCTTCCCTGCAAAACAATCGCGGCACAGTGCAATTCTCAGAACTGTCACCCTTATAACTAGTACACAGGAAGTCATGCAGCTACCAAATACCCCACTAGCAGTGTAAATAAGTAAGACACGTCGAGGTCATCTGGGGTCACTAACAGCCCAAGTAGAAAATAGCGTAAACACCATGACTTCCATACCACGGAAGACACGTGACGATGTTATGAAATTCGATTTTATTATTATACACCACAGCACATAAAATGTTCATAATATGTGGAATAAAAAAATTACACGCATATTTTAGGGGGAAATATTACACACAGGAAAAATAAAAAAAAGATTACAAAATCAGTGACTTCACCAAGACTTTAAATCCGATAAAACCGTTATCAGCTACGCGTTTCTCGGTCGAATAATTACATTCAGAACGCTGTGGTGGTAGAGCCCACAAAGTAGGCTGTAGTTCTCAGAAACATTCTTTAGCTGAAACATGAAACTTGCTTTGACTGTAGAAACGTCACGTATCCTTGCATGCGTCCATTTCGATTGGGCCGGGCCTCTTGGCTTCGGCGAAATACGACACGTGAGAAGAGGAAGTTGTAGAATCAACAACGTTATCCATGTAAAAGCAGGCATTTCAAGAGAATCAACAAATTTATTGACATTTACATCCGTTATGAAATGTATTTAAGCAGAGTTGTCGCAACGTATACGCCACAAGACGATTATCAAACTGCAGTGCTACCGATTAACCGTAAGTATTACTCTATCTCCACTCCAGCATTTTTAACGGTACATATTCTACCAAGGCAAATTGCTTCGCAATAAATATAATATATATATGTTTATTACGAATGAGAAGACATTTTAATATTATCGTGGTGAAATTAAATATTTAATTTCAACACTCGCAATCTAAAAGTTGGTGTAGTCGATCGTACTATCTAATACTATGTTGTTGGGCAGTTTACTTCTGTGCCGGATTCTAATGGGCAAGGCAGCGGTCAATATGTGTATATTACGGTTTTACAGTGCGTGACCTCGAGTTCTTCCGCAGCTACACTGTGTTCACCTCCAACTTTCTCTGTTTCAGTACTTATTACCGTGGACTGATTATGAAGCAGCTTGTTGCGTTGTTTTTGGTTGTGTCGTTGTCGCTATGCCAAGCTGCCCCGTCGCTATTTGGTGGTTTGTATAACCTTTGTAGGGTAAGAATCATATATATATATTTACAGCGAACTCAGTAATGTATTAATTAGAATATGACTGCGGATATACCAGTATTCAAAATTCATTCAAAGTCGTAGGATCCATGAATCTAAGAGTTCGAAACAAGGCTAGACTGACCATGGACGTACTACGTTCATGGACTGACCAAGCGTATCGTCCCCATTTACACGAACACCTTGGACCGGAAGTCCATTGCATAACAAATATTTTTTGAAGCTGCAGCCCTGTGCGTATTTCACTTTAGAAAAAAAGTGTTACGGTAGTGGATATAAATGAATCATCGTAATGTTGCGTCGTACTTTCATTCACAGGGGTCTGAATGGAGTGCATGGAGCTCGAGGGATAGCCTGTTTGAATGCAGTACTGTCACACGATCCCGAAAAGTAAGAGAAGGATTCAGATGCGTTGATGAAGTAGAGTCCGATAGAAGGTGTAAGTAACATAATAGCGGAGGTGGTATAATGAGTATGATGAGGAGAGGGGTGTCTTGACTTAAGAAACAACTTGAACAAGTTTTTTTTATTTTTTTATTTTGATTCTGAATTATTAGAACATCTGTTTTGTACACGACGGGCATACGACTGTGATATTTTGAAGGGCCAATCACTCGGGAGGTGTTCAGGTTACGTGCTGTCAATGGAAATTATACAATAGTGTCCGTTACATGACTGATAATACATCACAATCAACTAACATCTTATTATAACTTTATCCACTCACAGGTAGTCCCCCTGATGCATTTGAAACTGCCAGCTCCATAAACACAAACTTCTTCGGACGATTCGCAGATACCGGTTCATTTTTCGCTGCCTCAAATGGTAATCCACCTCCCATCGATCTTCTGTTTGTCATTGATAAAAGTGGGAGTATTGGTCAAAGCGACTTTAACAAAATTATTGAACATATCAAGGTAAGTTATTAAGCTAACATGGTGTTGGGTAAGCCATATTTCCATAAGGAGGCCACGTGATATAAAATATAACTTGAAAAAATCGGCATAACGATAATCATTTTCTCCAAAAGTCCACTAAACTGAAACAAAGCCATACAAACCATACTATCTGGTCCAAAATAAACGCATGCTATCTCTAAGAGAAGATGGAAACATGTTATTGTTATTATTGTTGATTCAATATATCGATAAATACATTGAACTATGATTCATCACTACCTGAAAAGGCTGTTATTGTAACACACATGTGAGCATTCGTTCGATAAAATGACGCAATTCCCTAATGCGCATGCGCACTGGTTGTTTTGGTACGTACAATAATAATTACTGCACATGCGTATTATTAGAATTGATCCCAGTATTACTTTGGTTAATACAGTTGAAGTTATTAAAATTAGTATGGTTGTTCACGGAATGAGTGCTACAATTAACTTGTCGAATCTAAAATTTTACTTTTAAGTTTTGTTATTAAAAAATAACAAATAAATCCCGAAAACATATTTCAGTGACATAAACCATGGATTAGTGGACACACTAAATTTTCGGAGCATTGTCATTGTTGGAACATACTCAAAAATCAATTTTAAAATATAGGGAACCGAGGCACGAGTATGTGATTAAAAGTCCCGAAAGTTTGTTTGCGTTGCTCTTTGATTGACAAGTCACTGTTGACGTTATATGCAAATGATTGCTGGCCCCAGTTACAAAGCAGCCGGTGTGCGACTTCCTGTCCTGGCTCTCTGTTTACTTACCTCAAGCGCGATCAACTAGCAAACTACAAAAAACAGACAAGACTTAGACGCTTCCAGCAGCATGCAAGCGGAATGAAACAAAACATACACTTGTAACTGATAAGTAAACTTTTTCACCCTTAAATAAATTGTTTTTTCATTTATTTTCATGTAGGAGGTAGCGTCGATAGGGCGATTTAATTTTCGCCCAAAACAAGGCCACAATTTCTTTTGTTTTCTTGGTGCATAGATTTCAAGGTTTTTCGCATTTCGCATGTTTCCACAAATTTTTACTCCAACGGCATTTTAACACTGAAGTAAACATTTTTCGTTTCGATGTAATGATTATCGTGCTGATAGAATTGCGATGCATTTGACAAACAGCACAGCTGTTGCTGTCATCGCTAACTTTTCAGTGTTAAAATACACAAACATAAAATGCTTGGTTAATTAAAAATAAAAAAATACCCTGGAAATTACCGAAAAATCGGCAATGAGATGCTGTTTTTAAACACCGCGGGAAATTGAAATTGTCATCTAAGCGTTAGACCGTCGCTGATTGGCTGCTGTTTTGGAATGTCAATTTTTAGTTTCAAATACCCCGGCTTAGTGTTCTAGGTTCTTCGCGTAATTAGGTGTTCGTATGCAAGGGATTTTTCCATACAAAAAAGACGAATTCGGCCGAATTTTGTTATCGGTTGGCTTAATATAACCCCAACGGACCGTATTTTTGTGAAAGATTGATATTTTTGTCCTGATTTATAGGAATCTGAAAAACGCGTTTCACAACTTGTCTCTTATTTAGTTTTATGCGTCATTCAAGATGGCGGCCCCCATATAGTAAATATCGTATTTATTTTATTATCACGTGTGCGCCAGCTGACTGTGCTTCGCACGGTCCACTGAAACTGCGTCATACAAAGTATTTGTTAAAGGTTTGAGGGAAGGTAAATTTAGACTCAACCCACCCAATGGCGATCGCTATGTTTATATAACTGTATGAATATGTCATCGGCTTTACGTAATCCATTGTGTCCCTCCCCCAGTTATTGATAACACGACGCCATGACAGTTTTCACGCAAGGTTGAGACTTCGCGGACGATTTTTCGTCCGTTTCCCTCGAATTGTAAATATTTTTACCTTGCCCGTACCATCAAAGATGGAAGGGAAAGGTATATTAAGGGAAAAATTTTGTCCGGCGTTGTCGTCGTTGTTGTTGTCGTCGTCGTCGTTAATAATTGTTATTGTGTGCATGATAACTTTACTAATTCTATTCCAAACTTCATCAAACTTGGTCACCTTGTTCATCAGTATAAAGTCTTTCCTGAGTTTGAACAACAGATGTCCTGTATGAAAATATCATGCAAAAATTGAGAAAAACTGATAAAATATTATGACTGTTTCTACTTGACTGATCACTGGTGATACACATCAAAGGTCACTGATATCAGTTGA